AAAGAAATATTTCCTGACAGAGGTGATTTTTAAAATAATATTAAAGGTGACATTGCTGTTTTAACATGGGGATGTTATGAAAATTATTATTTTGAAGGGCCTTTTAATGTATAATAAGCAACACCTCCTAGATAGCTTGGTTACAAGGGGTTACTCTAATCATCCTTTTGAAAGCCCACAATTCTGTTATATAAAATTAAATTTCTCCCTGCCAAAGAGCACTTCAAATTCTACAGAGATTTTGTAAGGTGGGCCCCGGGTGTGTAATGAGATTTACAAGTCTGAACCTTGCAGGGGTCTTTTAAAAGAGATTTGTGCTGCCCAGAACACACAGGCCTACATGAGGAACAAAAGTTTTGTTTTGTTTGCTTGTTTTTATTTTTTTTTATTAACTATTAAACGTGGCGATGCCAATACAGCTGTGGAAACACAGGCTGTGTCCTATTTTGCTGTATGCATCATCAAGAAAATTGCTAGCTCAATTCTGATTCCAAAATCATTATTGTGATGATGTAGATAACAAAAGACACAGCTTGATTTGCAAATGCCACACAGGGCCAGTGGTGTGGCCAATTGGAAAAAAACAACAAAAAAAAAACATCATTTGGGGCCCTTTTATTGTTACCAAAGGAGAATACTCATTAACTGCCAGGCATATGGAACATCTTGATGTGGTTCCATACTTTTTCCAGAGACTCTTATTTTAAAAGGGGTTCTTATTATATTAACATTTAAATAATTAGTACAAAACATTTAAGGGGTTCTCTTAGTACAATCTCCTACACAAGCAGAAAGCCTTTTTTTCTAATATGTATTACTGTTTGTGAATTTTTCCAACATTCCAGGAACTTGCTACTTCTCAACTAAGTTCTCCACTAATTAAAAAATAAACTTTTACAACTTTTTCCCTATATTGGGACAAAATCTGCATCCTTAGAACTTGTTCTCATTGGTCCCAGTATAGTCCTAAGTTCCAATACATAAAACTCAAAATTTACATATGTGAAGATATGCAAAATGGGGAGCATTTTAACTCAGGTAAAATACAAACTGAATGTGCATAGTTAAACTTTTTAGACTCAATGGAAACATAAGGCTGAAATGATGAATAACAGTAGGCTAATCATAATGTATGTAAAGAACTAGAAAAGGAAAGCTGCCATTTTAGCTAAAGAATGTTCAGTCTTGACATCTTTCTGCTTGGAAGGGTTGAGGTTGGTGTGCAATTGCAAGTTCTCACAGCTGGTGGACCCTAACTCCACTCCATTGTGGTTAATATACATAAATGATTTCACAGATGATAGGAAAAGACCTGACCAGTAGTATTGCTTATCTGGGTTCTCTTCAAAATAGACCTTGATCCAAAAATTCAAGTACAGCCATTTATTTGGGAGTATTTGGAGAAAGCTTCCATGAGGGAATAGGATTCGACTAAGGAAGCAAAGTCGGCTCCTGGAGTGTTAATTTCCTGGCACTTCCCATTGGTTTCTACCATGGGTCAAAGTGGTCTTCCATGGTTCTGGAAAAGTTCACACATACAGAGGCGAAGATTCCAGCAGAAGGAAGTTGTGCACATGCGTGTGTACATACACACTATAATCTGAGGGATATGGTTGGTCCACTGATAACTCATTAAAGTAACTATTCATTAAATAACTCACTGACCTGGAAAGAACTGATCTTGTATCTAGTGAAGCAGACCATATAGCCATCCAAGATAAAAACTCACCTTGGGCTGGGTATGTACTCAGTGGTAGAATGGCTGCTTACTTAATCATACTTAAACAAAAGAGGATAGTAAGACACCACGCCCTGGAAAGCATCTTTCTATTCCCCTAAACCTAGCCAAGTTAAGGGAACAATGAGAGCAAGTTTAGGCTACATACTACTCTCTGTCGGATACATACTATCTTGAAGGACAATGGCTTTCTCTCATGTGTGCTGGAAATTAAGTCAATGTTATCTGTAAAAAGCTACTATTTTGCATGTTTGCCAGGACAGCTGTTCTTTGGGATGTTGGTCATATAAGGAGCAAAACAAGTTAATGCTGGTGACACCACTGTTTTTGCAGCTTAACTTATAAAACCCCTCCCCTGTGGTAACTGGTGTGGATCAGAGAACTAGGGAGAAGTAAATGCTGTCCAGATCATGCCTCTAGTGCACTTCATGCAGCAAAGATGCACCTGTCCAGCCTGTCACCACTGGACTTTCTGGCAAAGCAACTGTCCAGCATGTTGCCACTAGAACATCCCCCTGAGCATTTCTCAATCAACTTTGTCTCATATTCTGTGTCTCTTGGCAACCTATTCTACTGCTTTAGCACAAGCTGAGCAGTAGATGGTACCAATATATGAGGCAGAGGGTTCTATCCCAAGCAACAAAAAAATAAAAACATAAAAAGCCACCTTACCAAGATTGTCACCTTGAACAGAAGCAGAAAGAGACTGGATCTGAGTTCTGGGTCAGCCTATAAAGAGCTTTAAAACCTTGGATGAGCTTGGACAGAGGTGAAATGAACAGAACTTTACCTGTCCTAGCTCTTCTACAGCAAGTTTTGAGGATAAAATGAGAAAATATACATATGAAAAACCTTTGAAATGGAAAAAGCACTAAACAAGATACAAGATATAAGGCACAACAATGTGTGTTCATTTGAAACAAGAATTCTGGTTCATATTTTAGGGAAATTATGTTTCCTTTAACTTGGGACTTTCATCAGAAAAAAAACGTCACAGTAGATCACAGTACATTTAGAATTTTCTCTGGAGCCTCATTCGTTGTTGTTGTTGATATGAAGATGGCAGCAAAATGTGTTGATGACTCTTTTCTTAGATATAATGAGCTGTTGATGATTTGTAAATCCATCCCTGAGTTATTTGGAAGTCTACAATAGTAGTTCCCTGGTGAAAATTTCATGAAGAATCATCTTTGTATCTGTGAACATAAAGCTGATTTTCAAAAATAAACAAGGTCCAGAAGATAACAAGAAAAGTTTTCCTATTTCTTTCACTTACCAAGCTGTCCTAGAGCAACTGATTTTAAGCAAAAATCCTGAGGGAAGTAAAGAGAAGTAAGACTTGGGGGCTTTTGTTAGACAAAGACATACATATGATTTTAAGTCAAGGATTCTGTTTAAATTTGAGTCCTCCCTCATTAAGTTTCTAAGACAGGAATTTTCCATTGATTCTATGTAGGGAATACCAGTAGCATCAGAGGAACTTGATGGGAGAGATTCTATCTTTTCAGCTTGTTTGTAATAACAGCAGCCTGGAGAAGACAACTTAAAAATTTGTAGGAGTTACTGTGGACTTGGCACTGAGCTAAGCATATCACAAAACTTCTAATATTTAACCCCCCCCCCCAATACCTATTTGGGTTAGATACTATTTTTATCTCCATTTTATATAGAGAACATTGAGCCATAACAAGGCTCCTATTTGGTTTCTCATTGGATAGTGGCAAATTAGAGTTTAGGACTATCTCATGGAGAAAAGCTCCTTCAGAACACTCCTATGATGTCTCTTGTCTGAGAAGCCTGGGCAAGCTGGCCTTCACTATAAAACAGTAATGACCTCAAATCTTTTTTATGAAGGCTGTTGTCATCAGTACAACAAGCAAGCACTTCTCCACCCATGGCCTCACAAGTTCTCTGTGATGAGTGTGTAGAGCATGCACACTCATGCACTTGGTTTTCCCATCCAGGGAACATGACCAGCCAAATCATCACCTTCTTTTGTCTAGATTTCCAAGTCTATGCCACAAACCAAAGTATTCCTTTTCCTGTATTTGAACAATCTTGGTATACTCTTTCACACAGGAGAAAGCAGAGCAATTCAAAATACCTTGATTCTGCCCTGGAGAGATTCAAATAGGTGAAAGGCCAATCACAAAGAGTTAACTCTGCTAACAATGAGGATCAACATTTACTGAGCACTGAATTTATTTGAGAAGCACTCTACATGGCTTATCTGGGTGAAACTTCAAGGCTCCCTTGCGTGGGAAACATTACTATTATCTCTACTTTGCAAATGAAGAAACCCAGGTTTAGAGAAGTGAATTAACATACCCAAAGTCACTTGCCTGCCTGCATGTGTCTGCCATAAGAACACACTTCACTGCAAAGATACCCATGGATGTGGTGAGCCCTTGTTAAATTAACACACAGATGTTTGAGCTTACCTCATTCTACTTGGTGAAAATCCTGACACAGACAATATTTCAAAGTTGATTTTATTATTTCATGTAACTAGAAACAAGTTAAGCAAGTTAAAAATGACTACTTGCAGTAGACCTATTCTAGGTAAGATTTTGTCAAAGACATGAACACAGAAGCATTAATTGCTGGGATTAATATTTTAAAAATCTTTTGAGTTCCTTTTATTTATTTTTAGTTTTAGTTTTTGGTAATGCTGAGAATAAAACCCAAGGCTTTGAACAGCCAGGAAAGTACTCTACCACTGAACAATATACCCAGTTTCTTGAGTTCTTAATTTGAAAAAATCATTTTTTCTATTTTGGCTAAGCATGTGTGCCCATGTGCACATGTGTGTAAAATCCTGAAATGCCAGCAATTATTTTACCAAAATTTATTTTTAACAGTGCATTCTGAATTTGGGAGCTCTTAGCTGCAAGGCCAACATATCTAAATATACCAATGCACTTTTGACCTTCTCTGCCCATAGATATTTGTATAAGGATGTGATTAACCACAGAAACTACTCCTAAAGGGGAGTGGAGAAGGAAAAGCAAAATGCCCTATATAGTTTTATAACTTAGCAAAGAACACAAATATGGGGTCTGGGGTTGTAGCTCAGTGGTAGAGCACTTACCTAGCATGTGTGAGGCACTGGGTTCGATCCTTGGCATCACATAAAAACAAATAAGTAAAATAAAGATATTGTGTCCATCTACAACTAAAAAACGATTAAAAGAAAAAGAACACAAATATGTCCAAGGCATGGATTTTATTTCTTGAGATGCCCCTGAGATAGCCACAATACCTTGATCTTCTTGAACATCTATTTCTTGTGGTGTTTCCAGAATGTCATCAGGATGTGGGACACAGAGTCCGTGGAAAGGCCCCAAGTCGAAGCACTCGTGCAGCAGGGGCAAGTTCACTCTTGAGCACACACTCATGAACCCGACAGCTACACCTTCCACCTGGAACATCCAAAACACCTGGTTACTCCATCAGACCTCAAGTGATTATCATCATGAAACTTCCATGAGCCCTGGGCACGTGGTCTGATGAGGACTTCACAGGCACTTTGAGTTGTTTAAGAGAGAAAGGAGTATCTTCCTTAAGTAGCTCTAGTGTCCAGCACAATGTAAAGTACATACAACATGTTCAAAGAAACGTCCAACAAGAGACCACTACAGACAATCCTAGAGGTGGATAAGTAACTTAGGGAAGTTGCCAGAGAGTTCTGGAGAGGGAACTATTGGAACTTACTTTCTTAGCCAATCTCTCTGCCTGCCCCAAATCCTCTGCCATCTGGTGTCTTTATCATTTTATCCTCCTACAAATCCTATGCTTCCTATGCACTTTCCTCCCGTCATGGTAAGATGGATCATTGTTCCAGTGCCCAAATGATTGGTCCTCAACATTCATGATTATTAGCTCCTTATCATGTAGGAACTCTTCAATTTCTCTTAAATTTGTTTATTTGTTGATTGGATGGTCTGATGGGAGGAAAGCTGAGGAAAGGTTTGGTGGGAAATAGTTGTGTGAACCTGAGTAAGGCCAGGCGGGTTCACTAGATGGCTCTGATCTCCAAATATATCACTGCTCAGCATCCTAACAGACATAGGGTTTTGATGTTCTTGCAATGGTCCTATGACTCTGGGTCCTTGATGAGAGATGCATAGGTAGGAAATGGAGTAACTAACTGATCTTGACCCATTATTGGTACCAAAAAATTATGAATTAACAAACTATTTTAATTCTATCATATTCCATATTGAGAAATGATTGTGACTGGAATTCCTTATTATGGGCTGGGGTTGTAGCTCAGCAGTAGTGCGCTCACTTAGTACGCGCAAGGCCCTGGGTTCGATCCTCAGCACTACATAAAAATAAACAAAATAAAGATATTGTGTCCAATTACAACTAAAAAATAAATATTTTTTAAAAAGAAGTTCCTTATTATGTCCCTTTACTAATTCTGTATTTCATTCCTCTCTATATTTAAAATTCAAAGAGAGAGAGAATGTATAGTCCTTTAAATTTCACACAAATAATTCCTGTGGGTTAATAAGTGGGTTTTAAGCAAATTCCCAGTTGAACACTTAGACTCTGACTGCTCTTATTAGAAACCTGAACTTACTGGATCCTATCCCTCAAGTATTCAGACTTCATTTTTGGAGATATTCCATTCAGAAAGTAGAGCTCAATAACCACAGCATTCCCTATTCCCAGAAATGCTGCGTTTATTCATAAATGCCCAGTAGAGAAAATGGTCAATGCTTTAACACCCTAAAACAGAGAATCAATTAATCATAACGTTTAATCTTTTAGATGACACAGAAAACAAATTAAACTATTTGTTTCCCAATCTATCTTTAATTAAAAACCATTTGTTTTCAAGGGTTTTTTGAAAAATAAATGTGAGATGCTCTTTGTTTTCTCCTCAATAATGAAATTCCAGAAGAATTTTTTTTAAAAATCAAATTTTCCATGTATATTCTTTTCTTTACAGGATCCCCCAAATGCTACTTGCTGTAAAAGACTGGATTTACACAGCTGTTTTACAAAGCCATTGACACTTTAATAAAAGTCCAAAATAAACATTTTAATTTTTTTCCCAAATAACAAGTGATTGTTTGTCTTGTTTGCACTCGTGAACAAAGGCTGCGTAGCTGCAGTTGTCTGGCTTCTCTGTAATTTTAGGCCCAAGACTCAGCAGACGCTGATTAGCCAATCCATCTACCATATGTGCAGAAAGAGGCGGCCAGCCTCACTCCCGGCAGGGAAAATTGGCATCCATCTTGGTTCACATGGAGATGTCCTTCTAATCTACAGCCGCATTGGCGCAACGGAACTTCGATGGCCTGAAATACCTTTTGCTGGCTTCACGGCGAGCTGCATGTGCATGATAAGAATGTATTATTTATAAGACCGCTGTTAGTAATGAGCTATTACACTAATGGCTCATTGTGTTTGGAATTTGATTTCAAATGGCATGGATCACACATTCTGATGAAAATGAGAAAAACATGTTTTGCCATTAGGAACAAAGATTTAGCGTTCTCCAATTCTACAACCTGTTATATTCCCATCATTCATCCAGGGTTGTAACAATTTACAAAGAGTTCACAATTAAGAGACTACAACAGAGCAAGGACATTTCCTGGAAGTTTCTGTTCCTTACTTTGGATCTCTTTCATATAACTCATTTGAAAAAATACTATTCTTAAACATGAATTTGTGGGAGGATCCAAATGTATCTTTGTGTGTATTTGTGCTTTCCAGAAAAAAGTAAATGGATTTATGAACTTCCTTACCACAAAAGTCTCTTCTATTACCTTATATTGGAGAACAAAATTGCAAGTTTTGTTGTTGTTCCTGTTTGTCCTGGGAGGATCTATGTGATACATGCGGAAGGTTTAGTGTCCACCGGCCTTGTCTTCATAAACACATAGACACACATATACTTTATTGTTTATACTTCCATCCAAAACGCTTGCTGGTCACCCATCCCTTTTGGGTGACAATATTCCACAATGAGGGTTTTGTCCTCATTGTGACCACTGCTGGCTTTGATCCCCTTCTCCTGATGCCAAGTGCATGGCTAACCTGGCAGGCTTTCTCCCGCCTGCAGGTCAGTGGTGCTTACTCAGACCACTGCTGCCCATGCCCTGGATGATGCCAAAGCAGACGCTCTGCCCATCTGTCTCTAGGAGCCGCCCTTGGCCTCCAACTGCCCTTCCTTGAAATCTCAGCTTGGAGTAAACACCAGATGTCAAGGTAAGCCAGGACAGAGTTGTGACAAGGAACTTGCAGTGAAGTTGTGACCCAAAACTCCTCCAAAGTAGCTATTGAGCCACAAAAAAGTCCTTGTAGCTAAAAACCCTTTAACTAGTCATTGGTTTTCCATTTAGCTCAGGCATAGCTCTTAGGCATTCAATATGCATGACTTGAAACTGCCATGGGCCAGTTTGGAAAGAGACAGACTTGATATACTTTATTGTTATCTCTGGTCAATGGTGGTTGCCTAAAAACATGGTGTGCTGATGAATGCCTTATCAGCATTCAGGGGGAAAAAGAATAGATTTGTAGCACTTGCCAATTTTTGTGGTATGAATACTCTCCTCATGGCCAATTTTAGCTACGAGCATGATATAAGTGAACACAGAACTGAGAAGAAGCATGTCATTAAATATATATCCACTATACAAAGACCACAGGCAAAAAATCTCAAGAGCATAGACAGCAATAAAATAATTAGAATTGATGAATTGAAACTATTTAATGCTTTCTTTTAATATAATTTATTATGCTAGAAGTTTATATAAGTTTTTAATAATGGCTGTGTTTAACAAGCAGCTTGCAAATTTCCTGAAGATTTAAAAATCAGCTCTCTGGAGCCTAGAACAAGCTGGATGCAGAACATCGCCACTCAAAGGCCTCTGAGGACTAGGGTCCCAGGAAGCCAGTGGGAGGGTTAGACCAGCACTCATCCTGAACACAAAAAGTCTTCAAGACACCAGATACGGCTCTGTTCAGACTGGAGATCACCTCCCAGGACCAGGTTCACAGGGCCTGCCTCTGCGCTTCTGTTTTATGATCAAGGTCCTTGGTCTCATCTCCTCTGATGCCCAAGGCAGCATGGCCCCTCGGAAGAGATCAGGCTGGGCTCCCTTGGCCCTCTATAGAGACAACAAAAGATCCTCACAGGGTAGAGACCGCAGTTTTCAGTATGGGGCTTTGCTCTGATGTTTACACACACTGAAAGTGTGATGTATAAAAAGAGAGAAAGAGCAAAGGGGAAGAGGTACACAAAGCTTCTGCAAAAAGCACTAACTCAAGTGATTGGGGGTAAAACTAGCAACTTGAAACCAGGGAGTTAAAAATTTTCCAAAAAATAAAAATCTGATTAAATTGGGTGGGTAGATTAAAAATCTCTACTAGGGTTTGCAGGAATCATTTCAAGTCTCTCTCTTTTCCCCCTAATTGTATAAAAACATTATTTTCCAAAGTGGTACTGCTGGGCCCAAATTTTTTTTGACCTTTCCTTTTCTCAGTAGCCTGGAGCTAAAAGCTGAATAGGAATATATGAAAACAATGCTTTAAAGGTTAAGGCAAAAATCCAAGTATGAAAGAATTTTTAAAAATTAAAATTCAAATCCTTTTGATGTAGGACCTCAGAAACTAATTCGGAAGGCCAGTTTTCACCTTCAGGAAGTAATGCTCATATCTATCTAAACATCTAATTCTTCACCAAATGTGTTTTACCACCATGCAGGTGAGTGTTTCACCACCACTTCGAAATCATCTGGGGAGTTAAAACAAAAACAAAAACAAACACTGATTGTGTGGGTGTGAGGGTGTGTGCCTCAATTCCCAGCTACTTGGGAGATTGAGGCAGGAGGAACATTGGAGCCCATGAGTTGGAGGCCAGCCTGGGCAGGCAAAATAGCAAAACCTTGTCTCAAAAGGAAGTCGAAGGTTGGGGTGGGTGGGGGTAGGCATGGGGTGGGGACTGAAAGAAACAAACTTACTTTAAAAATTCTGATTGTGTCCCACACCAAAAGATTGATTTAATTGAAGTGGATAATCCTTTGGAAAGTATACAACTCAGTATTTTTAGTATATTCACAACTGTTTGTAACCACTATCCAATTCTAGAATATTTTCATCCACAACACCCACCATAAAAACAACAATAACAACAACAACAACAACAAAAAAAAAACAGTACTCATTATTGGTCACTTTCCATTCCCCTCTACCTATAGCCACTAATTGCTTTCTGTTTCTATGGCCTGTCTATTCTGGGCTTTCATATAAATGCAATCATACAATGTATGGTCCTTATGTCTATTTTTTTCTTTAGCATAATGATTTCAAGGTTCAACTATGTTGTAGCGAGTGTCAGTACTACATTCCATTTCCTAATAACATTCCATTGAATGGATGTACCACATTTGGTTTAGCCATTCATCAGTAGATGGACATTTGGACTGCTTTTCCTTTTTGGATATTATAATAATGCTGCTGTGGATATTTGTGGATGAGTCTTTGGGTGAAAATGTGTTTTCAATTCTAGATGTGGGAATGGGTAAGTATATATTTAACTTTGGAAGAAAATGACAGATTGTTTTCCAAAATGGCTGTGACATTTTATAATCCCACCAGCAATGGGACAAAGGCTCCCACTTCTCTACATTCTTTCCAACACTTGTTATTATCTTTTTTTAAAAAAAAATTATAACTATCCTAATAGAGGTAAAGTAGTAGCTCACTACAGAGCAATAGTAACAAAAACAGCATGGTACTGGTACCAAAACAGGCTGGTGGACCAATGGTACAGAATAGAGGACACAGAAACCAATCCACAAAACTACAACTATCTTATATTTGATAAAGGGGCTAAAAGCATGCAATGGAGGAAGGATAGCATCTTCAACAAATGGTGCTGGGAAAACTGGAAATCCATATGCAACAAAATGAAACTGAATCCCTTTCTCTCGCCATGCACAAAAGTGAATTCAAAATGGATCAAGGAGCTTGATATCAAATCAGAGACGCGCCGTCTGATAGAAGAAAAAGTTGGCTACGATCTACATATGGTGGGGTCGGGCTCCAAATTCCTCAATAGGACACCCATAGCACAAAAGTTAATAACTAGAATCAACAAATGGGACTTACTCAAACTAAAAAGTTTTTTCTCAGCAAAAGAAACAATAAGAGAGGTAAATAGGGAGCCTACACCCTGGGAACAAATCTTTACTCCTCACACTTCAGATAGAGCCCTAATATCCAGAGTATACAAAGAACTCAAAAAATTAGACAATAAGAGAACAAACAACCCAATCAACAAATGGGCCAAGGACCTGAACAGACACTTCTCAGAGGAGGACATACAGTCAATCAACAAGTACATGAAAAAATGCTCACCATCTCTAGCAGTCAGAGAAATGCAAATCAAAACCACCCTAAGATACCATCTCACTCCAGTAAGATTGGCAGCCATTATGAAGTCAAACAACAACAAGTGCTGGCGAGGAGGTGGGGAAAAGGGTACACTTGTACATTGCTGGTGGGACTGCAGATTGGTGCAGCCAATTTGGAAAGCAGTATGGAGATTTCTTGGAAAGCTGGGAATGGAGCCACCATTTGACCCAGCTATTCCCCTTCTCGGTCTATTCCCTAAAGACCTAAAAAGAGCATGCTACAGGGACACTGCTACATCGATGTTCATAGCAGCACAGTTCACAATAGCAAGACTGTGGAACCAACCTAGATGCCCTTCAATAGACGAATGGATAAAAAAAATGTGGCATTTATACACAATGGAGTATTACTCTGCATTAAAAAATGACAAAATCATAGAATTTACAGGGAAATGGATGGCATTAGAGCAGATTATGCTAAGTGAAGCTAGCCAATCCCTAAAAAACAAATGCCAAATGTCTTCTTTGATATAAGGAGAGTAACTAAGATCAGAGTAGGGACGAAGAGCAGGAGAAGAAGATTAACATTTAACAGGGATGAGAGGTGGGAGGGAAAGGGAGAGAGAAGGGAAATTGCATGGAAATGGAAGGAGACCCTCAGGGTTATACAGTGGAGGGGGTAGAGAGAGAGGAGGGGAGGGGAGGGGAGAGGTGGGGAGGGGGGAGGGTGGAGGATGGGAAAGGCAGCGGAGCACAACAGACACTAGTATAGCAATATGTAAATCAATGGATGTGTAACTGATGTGATTCTGCAATCTGTGTATGGGGTGAAAGTGGGAGTTCATAACCCACTTGAATCAAAGTGTGGAATATGATATGTCAAGAAATTTGTAATGTTTTGAACAACCCACAATAAAAATTAAAAAAAAAAAAAGTAGTAGCTCACTGTGGTTTTAATTTACATTTCCTTATTGACACAGTAAGATGTTGAATGACATCTTTTCATGTGCTTATTGATAATTTGTCTTTTTCTTTCTTTAGGAGAAATGTCTATTTGAGTCATTTGTCATATTTTGTTCATTGTTTTATTTTATTTGTCTCTTTTGGTGTAAGAATTCTTCATGTATTCTGGGTCCAAAGTTTTTTATCATGGGGAAATCTAGAAACCTTCCAGGTGATTCTCCTATGTGCCAAGTTTGAGAACCCCTGATGCAGGAGGAAGCCACAGACTGCTCATGTCATGCATATTAGAGAACTTCTGATTTCAAGTTTCAAGAAAAGTAATATTCTTTTTTGGGCATCATGGTGCAGGCCTGTAATCCCACTGACTTGGGAGGCTTGAGACAGGTGGATCACAAGTTTGAGGCCAGTCTCAGCAATTTAGGGAGGCCGAAGCAGCCTAGTAAGACCCTATTTCAAACAAACAAACAAACAAAAGGGCCGGGGAAGTAGTTCAGTGGTTAAGTACTCCTGAGTTCAATTCCCAATACTAAAAAAAAGAAAAATGATATTATTAAATAGTTCTTAACAGTCTTAGCAAATGAAATGAGTGTATGGAGAATGATGAATCTCTTTTAAAAATCATCCTAGAAATAAAACTGCTATACTCTCATCTTTTAACTGGTACAAAGTCTCTCTTTTTGAAATGAAAACCAAACATCCATTTGAAAACAAAAACATAATGTGTGGTCATCTGAACCTTGGGATTCTATGAATGAACAGAATGTGTGAGCACCCAAGGGCTCTATTCCTGTTTGTTAATTATTGTGTGCAAAAGACAAGTACAAAAATTCATTCAAAGTAAGATTATCTTATTGAAAAATAAGTTTCAGTCCAACTTATATAAAACTTTTAAAAATATATATATATTTTTTAGTTGTAGTTGGACACAATACCTTTATGTTATTTATTTATTTTTATGTGGTGCTGAGGATTGAACTCAAGCGCTCCACCACTGAGCCACAACCCCAGCCCCCAACTTATATAAAACTTTTTGAAAGGGCTTTCCAAAGAATGACCTCTATATTTCCCATAGATGCGAGGAGAACATCTTAGCTCACCTGTGAATTGCTTTCCTTTTTCCCAGTTGACCCTAAGATTATCAACAAAAGGTTGACCTTGTGAGGTCCCTGCACACAAGTCAATGGCAAACCATTCGCAGGAGACTTCATTCCTTCTAACAGAGTTCTCATATGTGGTCCCTGGAGTGTCAGCATCAGTCTGGAACTTGTGAGAAATACAGCTTCTCAAACCTTCCTTTGCCAGAGCTAATGAGTCAGAAATGCTGGTATGGAGCCCAGTCATCTTTGGGCTCATTAGCCCAAGAAAGAATTTCTAGGCAGACTCAACTTTGAGTACCACTGCTCTCATATACTTCATGTGACCCATGGCATGAGAAGAAGATCCATTCAAGGCCCTACTCTTCCCAACACTGAATAGCCAACATGCACTCCCTGATGACTAAGATGCCAAAAGTCCCAAGTTTTTTCAGACAGACAATTTCTCCCTGCCATTGAGCATCCCACAATTTTTCCTGTTTCAGCATTTTCAACTCTTAAGAGTACTAAAGCCTCAAATGGAATAGCTCGGGGTAGCTGAAATTCCATAAGGAAAGCATCCCCCCCTTGGTAGATGCTTCCAGGGGTGGGTCAAGGATAAGAGAAAATCTTGGGGCCTCTGGTCATATTAAGGCTGGCTAGCTTGTCAGTTTTCTTCTCTGTCTTTTCAGAAAATGTGGTCCTTTGTGTCTGCAGCTGCCAAACTGAAGGGTCCAAACACTAGGTCTTATTTTTTCAGAAAAGCTAGAAATTCCATTTTTGACACACACACGCACACACACACACACATATATATATGTGTGTGTGTGTGCGTGTGTGTGTGTGTGTGTGTGTAAGTTCCTAATTTTTGTGTGAGCCAATAATTCAACAAAATTTAATCATATCTAACCTGGATCGAATCATAAGGAAACACTGAACAAATCCAAATGAAAGACATTCTACAAAATAACTGACCTGTATTCTTCAAAACTGTCATTGTCATGAAAAATAATGACAGACCAGGGAGTTATTCAGATTAAAAGAGATTGGAGAGACTCAGCACTTGAATGCAATGAATGACCTGGACTTACTTTTTCATAAAGGACATTGTTGGAACTGACAATAAAATCTGAATAAGGTCTGCAGATTAGATAAAAGGATTGTAAGAATCATAATTGCTTGACTTTCATCACTGTACTGTGGTTACGAGTTATGTAAGAAAAAGTTCTTGTATTTTAGGGAATACACACTAAAGTTTTTAGAAGTAGAGAGGCATCATGTCTGCAACATACTTTCAAATGGTTCTGAAAAAGTAGATGGACAGACTAGAGAAAGCAAACAAGAGAATGACAAAGCAAATGGGGGAAATGTTAATGTCTAGGAAACCTAGGTACATATAAATTCTCTTGCGAAATTATATAAAAAACAAAAAGTTAAAAACTAATCACTTCCTAAGTTTAATAAAATCTACCTGTCAGCAGAATGCTGGTTTGTGACCTCTGATCTCTGACATCTTGGGGCTCTCAGAAATCCCTTCTAAATACCCTTGGAGGATCTTTCTTTTCGTACTCTTCCCTCTAGAGTTAGAACAAAGAATTCACATCTGTGGGCATCTGGAATAACCTGTGGAGAGGGTGATAGCCCAGCTCAGAAGCTGGCCTGGCAAACCACCTAGAAGGTCATGGGGACAGGGAGGGCACATCAGCTCTCAGGGTCCTCTTTAAGTCCAGGAGCAACATAACTCATGCCTCTTGTTTCTCTCACTAAGCATTTCCCAGATAGACGAGTCACTAACCTCACACACAACGGCATGATTCTCTTCATCTTGGGCCTCTATCAGTTCAGCAAGGAAGTATTCACCATAAGTTTCCTTCAGGACAGTGTCATAGTGCATAAATATTGGCATGAGATCGTCATGGTCTTCCACCCTGTTTAAAAGAAAGGCTTCAGTTCAGTGTTTGTTTGTTTGTTTGTTTTTCCATCTTTTCCATCAATGGAGCATCTAATGTGTGCCAGCCCCTGTTCTAAGAACCAGGGATACAGAAATGATCTCATGAAATGAACCAACATTCTCATGAGAGAAACAGACAAACTTAAAGCATTTCGATAATTTCAAACATTTCAAATCATGCTATGTGCCTTGGAATGAAGAGTGACAGAGTCGAATGGTCAGGGAAGATCTGTGAGGAGGGACATGTGAGCTGAGTCCTGAATGAAGAGAGGGGGAAGAAGCTATGTCAAGACCTGGAGGTGGGGTGGGTCATTAAGGCAGAGAAAGCACAGTGAGTGTGTTAGAGTGTGTACTGTAGAACAGTATTTGTCATGAGCCAATTGACAGCAGGAGACAGCATTTCCCAAGTGTGTTCAAGGATCACTACTTTATGATACTGTCCCAGAATCCCATTCTCCTCCCCTATAAAGAATTACAATGCCTAAACCCAATAACCTACTACAGGGCCCTTCCTGGAGTGTCACCTTTATATATTATACCTTATTTATGCATTCTCCAACATTGGCCCATGGTTCCTTTTATTCCTACACTTCTTGGTGAGGGGGAAATGCACATCATCCTGGGGACCCCCACCTTGAATTCCATGGTCAGTGACAACTAGTGATGGTCATGGGAATAAGAACCAGGTTCTTTGCTGGCTTTTAGACTCCATTTTGTTGTTTTATTTAACATTCCTTTCTTCTTTTTAGTACATTCTTGTTGGTATTATATTTTGCTTGTCTAGGATATGCTTATACTTTTTCCTGTAAAAATGTTTCAGATGTGTATTATTTTTTTTTCCTTGTATATCTGATTGGGCTACTAACCTTTATTTCCTCACCCCCTTATTTCATTATTTTGCCATTTCATTGTCCCATTTTATCTTCTAGTATGTTCTCTTTGATGCTAACCATAGCTCCAGCTACTGAGTGATCAATATATACATAAAGGGGTTTATCCAGATTATCTCTGTTGCTATTCTTCTCATAGCAACCCCAGGAGGTAGGCAATGTCATCTTCACATTTCAGATGTAGGAGAGCAATGCTCAGGAGAATGATGAAATGTTTTGCCCCAGATGACAGAAATAGTTGGCAGCAGAACCATGATATGAGCTCAGGTTTTACTGATTTAAGTCCTGCCTTCACACACAATATACTAAACTGACAATGCACTTCAAAACTCTTCCTTTATTTTGACACTCCTTTGGAAAATTGGCAGCAGGAAGCAAAACAGTTGAGAGGCGAGTGGTTGGCTCAGGGGCCACAGGTTCAGACAATCCTGTCACAACTCCTCCAGCCCCTGCTGAAACAAATCCCCTACTCTTCCACAACTCCACTCCCCAAATATAAATACTTTAAACTAGATGATCTGAGTGAAAATCTTTACCTGGCTCCCAACATGAAATCTTTATGTCTGATGACACTGGCTCAGCTATTGAAATGATGTTGATTTTTATCAAAAGCAGTATCTTTATGGAATAAATACATATTTTAAAACCAGGTCTCTGGTTTTAAACTCTCACAGTTCACAGCAGAGCAAGCAAACAGACCACTATACAAAAACAAAAAAAACAAAAACAAAAACATGCACACAAGATGACTACAAGGGGGGTCATCAACATGACTTCCAAGTCCCCATAAAGAATCTTAATGCTGAGGATGTAGCTCAGTGAAAGAGCACTTACCTAGCATGTGCAAGGTCCTGGGTTCAATCCTCAGTGTTGGGGAAAAAAAAATGTCTAAAAACAATAACCTCCTACAGGTCACCTCTTGGAATGTCATAGTTACCTATGGAAAGACTCTGAGAAGCACTATGAAAAAGAGTATTTAACCTTGTTTATCTGTTTCTCAAACATTGGCCCATGGTACCATTTGTTACTGCATCTCCTATGAAGGGGAAAATGATGGTGAAGGTAATGAAGCTCTGCTCACTCTCCTGGGGACACCCACCTTGCTGCTATTCATCTTGTTAATCTCTTGTTAACTCTCTGGAAAGAGATACAGCAGAGGATCCCTATCCAGGCAACCAGAGTCTTTTTTTTTTTAAATCAACCTAGCTGTGATGTCATCACCACCAACAGTCTCATTCCATCATGGCAGGGCTTCAGTGGATTTTCAGGTGTGAGGCCTGGACAGGGAGCCAGAAACAAGCACCAACTATGCATTTAGAGTATGAGTACCTCAGCTGCTGTCCCTGACCACTTGCCCATATATTTATGTGAGTATGTGCTTACTCTGTAAATTACCAGGGTCATCTGTAGCTGGGTATATCAAGGCTCTGTTATAAATTCAGCAAAGGCTTTTTGGTTGCTCTTTTAAAAAAGATTAGAGAAAAATACAATGTACTGATCACAGCTTGAGTCGGAGAGCCAGACTGAACTTGGGTCTGGATCCTGCCTTTCCACATTGTGACTCTGGGCACAGTACCTAACCTCTCTTTGCCACAGATACTTCTCATCTTTTATAAAAGAAGTAACTACAAAGAACACATATGAGCATTATTTGTACTACCACAATTATTACTTGGATAGAAACAACCAATAAGAACAAATACAGAACATCTACAGTCAGTGGGTGGGGAAAGAAAGTCTCTTATTACAGAAGGCTGAGTCACTGTGTTAGCTTCCTACTGACAGGTATGAACAATGGCATTCCATCCACTATTGCTAATCTTAAAACTCTGCTTTCTTCACCTCACCTTCTTACTTAGAAATATTTGCAAGCTCCCCACTGTTTCTGAGAGGGGCACAAAGTCCTTTGCCTCCATCTTCCCACCCTTATGGCCAACAATGACATGACCTACTTATTGTCCACAGAAGGGGACCTTACCACCTTTCCTTTTTCTTGCCTCTATTTCTATTCAGTACTCTGACTCCCTTGACTGCCCCAAATTCCAGCACTCTTCAAGCTCAACTCCATACCTCCCTCCAGTGACTATTCTTCCTATGAACCCAATGCTGGGATCATCACTGGATATACATTGTCTGTTCTGGTGTTAATTTCTTATGGCCAAGGCGTGGCACCTTCCCAACCAGGGAATGTGCTTTCTAGACTGCTCTGTAGTAGTCCTATGGTATATAGTATAGCAGCAACAGTCAACAAGAACAAGACCCTTACCTTGGCCAAGATCTTGCTGAGAGTCCCATGTACACTAATTTCACCAAAGAGGTATGATCATGAAGCTTCAGGGGGTACGTATGCAAATTCTGAACCCACAGTCCCATACTGGAAGTTCAACTTGCCCATGTATTTATGACCACTTGCCCATTTGCTTTTTCAATTGAGGAACCAGCAAAGTTACTTCAACACTAAGCCTTAGTTGTCTCATCTATGAAATGGGCGGAGGCACAAATAGCTGCAAGGATACAATGCAGTGATACAAATGACAGGCTTGAGCCTGATCTCTGCTCATAGTCAGCCCTTAGCAGGCATTTGTCCTCCAGGTGAGCCCTAGAACCTCAGCTGGGAAAACCTAGAACACTGTGCTCCCTTCCAGGAACAACTCACTTCTCACTAAACCTGCCAAAAAGCTGCTCCTAACAGGAGATGGCTTATCTCTGTAAAAAGAGTCCTTAATGATATAGTGCAAAATAAGATTCTGGAAGAGAATAGCCAAGTCCATTCTCAAACACTGCCAAAATTAAAAGGTTGCATCAATGCTTAATTATTTTGCATAATGGGAAAACAATTCAAAATCTTATTCCAAGGACGATGCCAAAATTAACTGTACCACTGGATTTTATTTATATGATGGACACACACATATTACTCTACAAATATAAAAATCAGTTCAGAGACTCAGGGCTCTAAACCTAGTCACGCGCCTTCCACAGCCCATTAACACAGCTATATCCTAATCAGACCTCAATACTAATTCTTCTGGGAAAAATAAGAAGAAAACATCCATATCTTGGAGTTCTAAAGTCTCTCCCTTAAGCCCTTGCCCAAAATGGTTAGAAAGGAACTTGGTCTGTTAAATGCATTCCTTGGGGTAATCGATAATTTATGATCTTGCATCAGCCCAAGTGCTAATGATAAAGTATGACATCAGCCTCAAAGTCTCAAATGGCATATGACAAAGTCCAGCCCTACAGAAACAAAACACCCCAGCTATGGAAAATCATTCATGCAATAAAATGTGTAAATGTGAGTGCTCTCAGGCGATAAGCACTGCCTGTCGGAGTCAAACACGAGGAGAATCAGGTCTCACCGTGAATTTGGCACGACAATGCTATACAGGTACCCACCATTTAAGTGCCACAAAACATTCCAATAATAAGAACTGCCTAAAATACAATAAAAATAATGCAATTATTTGAGTAAAAAGCAATGCTCCCTTCTGTCTTCCATTCAGCATGGCTTTGATGGAGTAGTGATGCAATTGTAAAAAAAAAATCAATTTAGAATATTTTAGAATAATCAATTTAGAATATTTTATTTTAACTTGTTTGGAAGAGACTGAAGGTCCTTCTCATAAAGGCATATTGCTCTCTCAGGCACCCAAATATCTGAGACTCTGAATATCACGCATATGAAAATGGAGTTGAATCCAAACCCTAAAATCAATAGGCTCTTAAGGACACTTGGGGAATGGGTGTTTTCTAAATCCAGGATTCAGCAATACTAAAGATAATTTGATTGGTGCCTCTCACTGACTTCCTGTAAGGCTAGGAGAAGGAAGGACAAACTCATCATTTCATCTAAGTCAGTTATCCAGGATGTACAGGGGCATCATGATGTCGCAGACACCATGGAACTCTTCCCAGTAGCCTGGCAGGGTCTCTTGGTGACAAATGGATTCTAAGATTGCTTCATCACCACAGCATCCTGACTGCTCTACAACATAATTGCCATCTTAGAGGAAAAATACACAGGCCAGGTTCTCTTGAGTCAGAGAGGTATACACTGCTTTCTTGCCAGCAAAGAAACCACTACAAA